GCGCACATAACTCTTGTATAGTCCGAGCATGCGCGCACATAACTCTTGTATAGTCCGAGCATGCGCGCACATAACGGTTGTATCTGTCTCTTATACACATCTAGATGTGTATAAGAGACAGCAACTGGACAGTGCAGTAGTTTGAACATTATAAGTCGAATTTTTCTGCCGTCGCAGATAAATTTCATGGTGTGAGAGTGCGGTTAAGAGTAAGTACCTCATACCTCAGAACCAAGCCTTTTGGTAGCAAGTATGTTACCAATGATTTACCTCTGCCACACGCTCACGACTTGCGACGGCAGAAACACAGTCGTCCATCTTGACGTGAAACATGTCAGACTCGCGCTGGCCGCCATGACTTAATTGTTTGACCCGCGCTGGCCGCCATGTCATGTTTGACCTACGCTGGCCGCCATGGCATGTTTGACCTACGCTGACCGCAATGGCATGTTTGACCTACGCTGGCCGCCATGACTTGTTTGACCCGCGCTGGCCGCCATGTCATGTTTGACCTACGCTGGCCGCCATGGCATGTTTGACCTACGCTGACCGCCATGGCATGTTTGACCTACGCTGGCCGCCATGACTATGGCTGCTTCGTCTCCAATCATTGAAAATTTGTTGGCACGCAGCGCCTGTACTGATGCGCATTATCACGAGTAGCAAATGTCTGCTATGCTGAATTGTTCTCATTTAGTACCAACAACATCAAGTAAGCAGCAAATTGCAGCACCATGAGCAGCGAGCGCAGAGCCTGTCTCATGATTAGACCTAACATGATTTTAGATCTTCTGTGAACAAGTCACGAAAAGTACAGGAATAGGCGACAGGCCTCATCAGGCCTACTCTTCAGCGCCGACGTCACTATTTTATGTTATGTTAAGTTATGACGTTCAGCATTAAGTGATGAGATGCGCAGCAGTTACTGCAAAACGTTTCGCACATTACAACCTGCAGAAGGCGCAGTAGCAATAACCTCCTATAAAGGGCAGGGGTGGGCGCCGTTTAAAAGGCAAGGGGGGTTAAAAAGGGCAGGTGGGTGCTTATAAAGGACAGGAGGCGCCCATAATGGACAAGGGTGAGTGCCTATAAAGGGCAAGGGTAGACCTTTTAAAGTGCAGGAGTGAGCGCCGACAAAGGCAGGAGTGGGATCCCATAAAGAGCATTGGAACGCCTATGATCAAGGGCAGGGAGGAGCCGATAAAGAGCTGTGGGTGCCTATAAAGGACAGAGAGGTGCCTATTAAGGGCAGGGGGAGCCTATAAAGTGAAGTGGTTTGCGTCAATGAAGGGCAGGGATGTGCCTATAAAGGGCAAGGGGGCGAGTCTAAATCAAGGGCAGGGGGCTCCTATAAAGGGCAATATGTTGGTCCTTTAAAGAGAGTGATACCATTATCCACTCTTT